TTTTTTTTTTTTTTTTTAATTTTACTGGGGATCAAACCCAGGGCCTCACACATGCTAAGGCAAGCTCTCTACCACTGAGCAACAGCCTCAGCTTCAGCTTTGGGTTTTTTCTATGATTGCTTTTGAATTTTCCCAGGTGATTCTAGTCAGTAGCCAGGTAGATGCACTCTGGTCAACTGTCAGGGGCCAGGCCATCCTGTTTTTCCCAGGTTGTATCCCAAGCCCAGAGTGGCACCGAGAGTATTTGTTGATTCCATTAGCAAGCCCATCAGTAATGGCCCTGAAGGCCAGATTTCTCCTGATATAACATCATGGGTTGTAGGAAACAAGCCTTGAAACCCACACACCCGTCTTCTGTTTACCTGTAAAATATTCCACTTTTTCCTCCAACTGTCGGAAAATCTCGTCTGCCTCCGTTTTGCCAAACAAGACCGTGTAATCGCAGTCCAGGCCCTCGGCGCGAATGTGTCGCCAGCTGGGGCCTGCCAAGTGGGCGGCATTCCCTGGGGGATCTCTCCTGGGCCTCTTCCTTGTGTGTCCTTTGTCGTCACCCAGGGTAGCTCCTTCTTCTGTGCTCTGCTCTTGCTCCTCCGGCTTTCCCAAAAGGCTCCCTTGAACCTCCTTCCCCAGGAATCTGTCCATCCCTTCCCTCCACGGAAGAGGATGTCAGCAGCAAGACACCCAGGAAGAGTGCCCAAGCTCTGTCCCTGATGAAAACTCAATGAAAACTCACAGCAATGCTTCTATTTGGGGATGGAGCTCAGTGGAAGGGCCCTTCTGTGTCTAGAATGTGCGAGTTCCTGGGTTCAATCTCAGGGTCTGCAACAAAGAAAACAGTTTCAGCTGGAAGAGCCCTAGGGACTTTCTGGCCAGAGTCTTCAGGCAGCACATCAAAACCGCTGGCTAGGAGTGTGGCTTAGTGGTACAGCATGTGCTTAGAGCATCCTGTAAGCAACTGGGTTCAATCCCGAGCTCACAAAAAACAAACGACAAACAAAAATACCAACCAGGTGAGAAAAGGGATCAGCTGAAAAGCTTGCAAAAACTGAAGCCGGAATCAGAGAGGCAGTCAGTGTAGACAGGTAAACCGAGTCAGGTGGGATCTAGGAGGCCAATTTTCAGTGAGTCTGGGAAGCTGGAGACTGTCTCCTGAGGGGTCTTATCAAGAACCTGCCCCTGCTCCACCCTGTTGCCAAGGTAACCGGTCCCAGGAACTTCCCCTCCCTACACCTCGCCTCTTGGGATACCATGATACCAGCTGTGCCCCCTTCTCCCTCCCTGGAAAAGTCGGTATTTCCCCCCTTTTAAATAAACCCTGCTTCATACGCTTGCCCCGGCTGCTCCTCTAATGTTCAAACCTCAACATGTGGGAAGCAGGACACCGCTAACCGGCGGTGTCAAAGCCTGACACTTGCACTTCACCCCCACGCGGAAAATTTTTAAAGAACACGCCAATCAGTATTTGCAGTCAAGTTTGGAAACTCCAGACAGGGAAAATGACGCCCAGAGGGAGGGGACAGGGAGTTTTGTCAAAGTCACCCACAAATGCAGGTTCTCTATTCCTGTCCACTTTGCTGAGGAAGAGACACCTGGCTTCCTCTTTCTCACCAGCATTAAAACAAGTCAATACGGCGACACTCAAGGGGAAAAGACCCGGAATCCAAATACCAACTAATTACGGTCAAACCCTCCTCCCCTTCTGATAGAAAATAAGAACTGTAACACGTGCGTGCGGTGGGAGCTGGAGAGCTCTCTTTACACCCCCGGACCGCCCCTGCGTGGCTCAGAATCTGGAAAAAACCACAGCAACTCCCGGCCAGCGGGAAAACATACTCACCCCGCCCGCGGGAGCTCAGTCGCGCTTGCGCATAGGTCTCCGGGGCAGGCTGGGAAGCACAGGCGCATTGGTAAACTCAGTGGCTGCTGACCTCCTGACGCCACCTGTCGGCCCCTGGATGCATCGCAGGCACTGCTCCGTGCCCGGCAATATCTGCTGCATCTGGGCTTAACTGCCTCATCTGTAAAGTGGGGACTACAACCCCTGCCAAGAGAGGAAGTTGCAATGAAGTTGGGGGCTTTGTTTTAAAACTTCTTGGTATACAGTTCTGCAAATTTTGACAAAGCTACAATACTTTATAATCACTGTTGAAACACAACGCAAAGAAAAGGCCACCGACTCCAATTTTAAATCAAATTAAAGCAAGCTTTTATTTGTGTACACCGGAGCTGGCCAGGACTGTTTCTCTCCAAAACCCTGGGCTAGAGATCAGCCCCCCAGCTCTCCAGGAACAAGGTTTTATAGCACAAAAAGTTGCAAACGGGGGGGGCGTGTCTTGAGAACTTACAGCCAACAGGATTTTGACAAGCATAGTAAAAAGTCAGATAGATTAATGATCTACATGGGAGTAAATTCTCAACATCAGAAATGATGAAGTGCCACTGAGATTTTAGAGAGGGTTGTTATCTGGTCAGGGAAAGTGAGGCATGGGTGAGTTCAAGGCACCGGGAGGAATTCCAAACAAGTTTAGAAAGCTCAGTAATTTGTAGTAAAACAGAAATTAACTTTTCATGACTTTGTGATGAGATGGCTCCCAATCTTAAAATGGAATTAGGCTGGGTTCATCAATCACCACAATCAAGATATATAACAGTCCTGGCCAAATTAGATTGTTATATTGTGTATTGTGTACATGTGCAAATATGTAACAACAAATCCCCTCGGTATGTACAATGATATTACACCTATTAAAAAATGTGTGGGGGGTGTAGGGCTGGAGCTAGAGCTCAGTGGCAGAGCGCTTGCCGGGCATGTGTGAGGCACTGGGTTCGATCCTTAGCACCACATAGAAATAAACAAAACAAAGGCATTCTGTCCATTTACAACTACCAAAAAAAAAAAAAAAAAAAAAAAAAAAAACTGGGGGAAGGTGGTTAAGATCTAGAACAGTTTCATCATCACAGAAATTCCCCCCATCTTTTGGTTGTCAGCTTTTGCTCCTTACCCAGTCTCTGGCAACTGCATTCTTTCCTCTATCCCTCTAGTTTGCATTTGCCTGAATTTCATATGAATGGAATCATACAATACATAACTTTTTGGGTGTGACTTCTTTCATTTAACAATGGTGCTTTCAAAAAAAATTTTTTTTTAGTTGTAGAGGGACACACAATATTTTTATTAATTTATTTTTTATGTGGTGCTGAGGATCGAACCAATGCCGCACACATGCTAGGCAAGTGCTCTGCCACTGAGCTATAGCCCCAGCCCAAAGGATGCTGCTTTTAAAAATCCACAGCACTAAAAAGAAATATTGTTTGCATCAGTAATTTGTCCCTTTTTTATTGTATCCTATGGATGTAACACAGTTGTTTTTGGGTGATATGAATAGAATCATTACAGTCATTCCTGGACAAGTTTTTATGTAAATATAGATTTTTATTTCACTTGAATAAATGCCTAAGAGGATAATGCTGGGTCACAGAATAAGTGTATAAATGTTTAACTTCGTACAAACTGCTAAACTGGTTTTCAAAGCAAAGGATATTCAATTATGAGTCTTTCTCTTCTTACCTTAAGCTCCTTGCCCTGGGCACTGGCACACAGCATCAACAAGGATAAAGCTCCTGCCCTGGTCCAGGTTACATTTTAGAGATGCAGACAGGAATAAGCAAGGGAAAAATAATTTTATATAATATAGAAATTACAGAGCGATAGGCCAGGAGGTGGGGCTGGAGGAGAAGGCCACAGGGAAGAGTCCTGAGCAGAGACCCAGGCCTTGGGGGAGGAACTGGCTGTGTCCAGCTAAAGTGCTGGGATCCAGATTCAGTAGTAGGGCTTTGGTGGGAGAGGGAAGGAGCCAGCAGAGCTGGGTAAGACGCGAGGGTTTTATTTCAAGCCATTTTGGAAACTGTAGGAGGGTTTTAACCTGGAGGTTGTCGTGACATAATTTATATTTCCAAAAGATCACCGATAGGAAAGAGAAAGCCAGCCTGGGTTGTAAGCCAGAAGATGGGAGAGCTGCTGTTGAATTCAGGATTTGGAGAATTGATTTGCAGATATTGATAGTTTGAACCCCCGGGGAGGGATGGGGGAAGGAACCCAGGTGTGTGTTGGGGGAGGAGGGGGACCATGGTGCTTTTAGAGGGTGAACAGTTTGGGGTTTGACCTCCGTGACCTTAAAGTCAGCTCCAAACCTGGTAGATAAGGCAAAGCGTAGCAAAGCAGGCTGTGAAAAGTGGTTGAGATCCGTATAGCAGTTCAACAAGTAACGGAGAGAAGGCTCGTTTTCATCCTGCCACACCCTGTGGGGCCCGTCCCTTTTTTACAGCTGAGCAATTGGAGCACCAGGCCCAGAGGCAGAAAGAGGACGAAGGCATTTAACTAAGAAAGAGTAGGCGGTCCAAGCCCTACCTCTCCGCTCCCGCGTGGCTCAGCAACCCCTGGGGCGCATGCGCAATGAGCCCTCTACGCCCCGTCCCGCCCCTAGGGAAGCCCCCAACCCCCGGCTCCGAGCATGCGCCGGCTGCTTGGCGCCAATTGCTGACCCACCACTGACTTCTGGGTCCCCGGGCGGCGCTCGTTCGCTCCCTCCTCGGTTCCGGGATGATTGGCCAGAAGACCCTGTACTCCTTCTTCTCCCCGAGCCCCGCCAGGAAGCGAAGTGTCCGCAGCCCGGAGCCAGCCGACCTGGGGACCGGTGTGGTAGCTGTAGCTGAGGAGAACGGCGATGCAGCGGTGAGGCGCGGCGGAGAACGCTTCAGGGCCCGAGGGCGAGGGGCAGGGATGGGGAAGAAGTCAGGAATGCCATCTGCCCGGGGCGGTGCAGGAGCGCACTGCTCGCTCGGTAAATCAGGGACCCGAGTTGAATACAGCCTACATGCCTTCAAAACAGCCGCCTCCATCCCTCATCGGCCGCCATGCTGCAGGGCCAGCCAATGGGAATGGGCCTCGGGAACCACAGCGCCAATTGGCATGCAGCTGTCCCACCCTTCTCAGCCCTCTGTCCAATCAGAGGGGGAGGGAGGCGGGACCCCGGAGGAGGGGTTTTTTGCCGCGAAAAGGCCACGTGGGGACGCTTGCCGCGGATCCCGCAGGGCGGGGCGCCTGAGTGAGTCTCAGGACCCCGCGGGGTTCTCGGAGTTCGGACCCCAAAGCTCTGCACTGGCTCCACCCCGAGCCCTGGAGTCAAATTGTCTGATTTGGCTCGCACCCGCCTTCGCCATGGGCGTCTGTAGCCGACCGCTGGTGGGTTTGGCCCGGAAGCTGCGGGCGCCCGGGAAGCGGCCTGTGCGGTTGGTGACCCGCCTCTGCGGGGACTCGTTGCAGGACCATCCCACCAAGAAGGCCCGGGTCGGGCAGGAGGAGCCCGACACGCCGCCCTCCTCGCCGCTGAGCCAGGAGCAGCTGGTCCGCATCCAGAGAAACAAGGCCGCGGCGCTGCTCAGACTCGCGGCCCGCAACGTGCCCGTGGGCTTCGGCGAGAGCTGGAGGAAGCCCCTGGGCGCCGAGTTCGGGAAGCCGTATTTCATCAAGGTGAGCCGCACAGCCGCCTTGCCCAGGGGTCCAGAGAGCACTGGCTCTTAGTTGGCTTGGCAGGTCATCTGCCTTTAGAGCATGTTGGGCTTCCACGGCCTCCTGTTTTCCCTCCTGCACTGGGTTTTTACCACGAAGCGAGTAAACTAAAGCCGTGATGATCTGAGTGTGCACTTAGGTTGTGAAGGACGGTAAGATGATGTCATGGGTTTTAAGCCACTTAGTTTGCTCCCCAGGAAAGGTTGGCATAAAACAACCAGACCGATTCCCCGCTGTGCTCTTGGGAAAAAGATGAGAAGTATTGGCATTACTCGGACATGAAAGCCATCAGGCAAAACGACAGCGATCCGTCCCCGAGAAACAGGGGAGTTGGGGTGATCCGAACTTAAGGCCCTAGTAGGAACAGGGTTTTTTTTTTGTTTTGTTTTAAAGAACTTGGATTTGAAACGTTTCAGGGAGTCAGATAGCTTGCATGAGAAGTTTTCTTACTGAATTCTTACAGGTTTCCAGTAAGAATCTGATATTTAAATCTAATTAATCTTTTAAATCAGCTAATGGGATTCGTTGCAGAAGAAAGAAAACGTTACACTGTTTACCCGCCTCCACACCAAGTCTTCACATGGACCCAAACATGTGACATAAAAGATGTAAGTACAATTGTGGGTGAATTTTACTAGGGGCTGAAATCAAATAGTACTTGTTAATTAGAGACACTGGAGAAAAGCCATATAATCTGTCATCCAGTAGAAATTAATACTAAAGTTATGGGGTTTGGCTGACTATATTTCACCCTATATTTAATCTTTACTGTGCTACCTTTGCAACAAAAAGGAAAAATATGTACAACAATGTCACTCTTTTATTTATTACTTATTACTACAAATTTATTTCGATGAACCTTTAAAAAATTTATTTTTATTTTTTATATTTTTTTAGTTGCAGGTGGACACAATACAGTTATTTATTTGTTTTTATTTTTGTGTGGTGCCGGGGATCAAGCCCAGTGCTTCATACATGCTAGGCAAGTGCTCTACCACTGAGCCACAACCCCGGCCCTCACCCCCCAATTTTTTTTTTTTTAAGTTGTTGAGGGACCTATATTTTATTTATTTGCGGTGCTGAGGATCGAACCCAGCACCTCCCATGTGCTAGGTAGGTCCTCTACCTCAGAGCTACAACCCCAGCCCCTCCATGAGCCTTTTAAAAATCTTGTTAATTGCAGATAATGGGACTGAGAAAGAAGGATCTCTTATGTACAGAAATGCACAAAATAGGCAAAAAAGAATGAGAGTTATGTTTAG